AAACAGGGCCGAGTACATTGGGTACTCCTATACAACAAAAATGAGTCGCAAAATCAATTCCAAGCAAATTGTAGATCTAAATAAGAAAAGCAAAATTATACAGCTTCTCAAACATGAGAGAATATCATCATGACGTTGTGGTAGGCAAAAGTATCTTAAACAGGACACCAAAAGTTGCAAACATAGGTAAAAAATGATAATTGGATTATGTTAAAATTAAGAACTTCTGTTCACCTGAAGAGACCACTGGAAGAGTAATAAGGCAAGTCACAAAATGGGAAAAGAAATTCGAAATACATATATCTGACCAGTGACTCACCAACAAACCAATCAAGAAAACACAAGCAGTCCAATAAAAAATTGCCAAAAGACAAACAGGCACCCCACTAAAAAGATATATAAGTGGCCAATAAACATATGAAAAGGGGCTGACATTCATCAGAGAAATCAATGTAAAAGCACAAGGAGATATTGCGATATACCCGCTAGAATAGCTAAAATGACACTGACGGACATTGGCCAGGGCTGCAAGGATGTGGAGAACTGGGAATCTCATGTCCTACTGGTAGGAGCGTAAATTGGTACAATTCTTCAGAAAACACAACGGTATATCCTTAAAGGTGAACGGTGCTTATGACCCAGCAATTTCACTTCCACATTCACACTCAACAGTAACACGTACATATCTGCTCTAAAAGGCACATAAAAGAAAGTTCGGGGGAAGCATCATTTATAAGCCTCCAACTGGAAACCACCCAAACATCTGTCAGTAATAGGAGTTAATAAAGTATGATACGGTCATATAATTTAACACTATACAAGAATAGAAATGAGTGAAAACTATATACAACCACATGGTGACCATCACAAACGAAACAGTAAGGAAAGGAAGCCAAATGCAGAAGAACGCATACTGTGTGATCCCATGAATGTCCAGCCCAACTAGGAATGGTGCCAGGGACCTGGGGAGTGGGCGCCTTGGGGGGGATGCAGAGCAGCGGGCAGGAGGGGTCTTCTGAGGCGCTGGTAGTGCTGTGTTTACAGTAACCTGGGTGGTTGTTACTTGGGTGTACTAGAGCAAATTAAGCTTGAAACATGGCTGGAGGCAAAAATGACAAAACTGAAGCTGTGCAAGTTCGGAGTCTTCTACAGAGTAGGAAAATGCAATGATGTCAACGTAGAAAGGATACCACTGGGGCTCTGCCTGCCCTCTCCTTCTGATGACAGACCCGATTTACTTTGGAGAACTGCATTGCGCCTCCCACATACCATCTCACGCTAACCCTAACCCTGGCTTACGCAGGCTGGCTCCTGACCCAAGGTCCAGTCACAGTCCCCGGCACCCCTTGGAGAGCGCTGGGTGCAGCAATGGGCTCCTAGCCCAGGTCAGGACAACTAAGTACCTTCCCTGAAATTCATCCCATTGGAATCCTTTCAGGAGTGAAACAAAGAATTTAAGGCCAGACCTCCCTGGGTCTAGTCTCGGAGAGAAGGCAGCTCCAAAGCATGGATCCATCACATGGAGAAAAGCCCTTCCTGAGGCTCAGTTGTTTGGCCCCATCTATGTTGGATTCCAGGAGCTACCCAGTCTTTCCAAGATATTCTACCCTGTCCCCTCCCTCACAGCTGGCTGCAATTGGTTTACTCTTCAAACCAAGAGAACATGAGATTATACACCGAAAAATCATTTCTGTAAATCGGTTAGGATGCCTTTCACTATGAGAAATATAAGACTCCAATAAAAATCAGCTTGAGCTATAAGGAACTTTGACCTTGAACAGTGAGCCTAGGGAAGGGCGGCCGCAGGTGCGGTAGATTCAGCAGCTCAAGAGTGTCATCAAGGCCCCCATGTTTTAGCTCCGTGTTTGCCACGAACAGTGCTGACTTCTCTCAAGGGTAGGTTCCCCTGGGGGCCCCAGATGGCTGCTGCTCACAGTTGGGACTATCTGTGCCATGATTCCTACCCAGCAGGTGATGGAGAAACTTCTCCACGCAGGGACCAGCATAATCAGATTTGGAAATAATATCCTGGCAGTGGTGTGAGAACAGCTCTAAGACATCTTTAAGAGCCAGAATTAATCCGGCTTGGTGACTTCCTGGCTGGTGGAGTGTGGGAAGGGAGGAGCCAGGGGGATGCCCAAGTTCCTTATTAGGCGTCTTGGTAGGTAGAGGCAAGGCCAGGACTGGTTTGGCAGGATGGTGACAGTGCAAGCAGGTTCGAAGGGTCCCCATGCTGCACTGGGAACAGCCAGGAGCTGACTGGAGCCTGTCCAAAGCCCTGACATCACAGCAAACCTTTAGCCCCTGACAAGGGGTGATTTAATGGCTGAGCTAAGCTCTCCGTGACCTGCCCTTCCCCTCCATGCACAGAGAACCGTGTATATAAAACAGGCACGCCTGGGGACACGCTGTGGCACCCTAGCTGTGCGGGGTTAGCACAGTTGATGTGGACAGGAGGGGCAGCGGCCGTCTCTCCCTTCCTCCACCTTCCCACTCGGGTTTTGTTCAGGAACACACCCACGTCCCACTTTAAAGGGTAATTAGCCTAATCAATGGCTCTCAGCCCTGGCTGCCCATTAAAACCAACCGAGGAGCTTTGGAAAAACACCAGTGCCCAGGGCACTCATATATATACGGCTGTGGTAAAAAACACATAACATAAAATTGACCATCGTAACCATTTTTAAGCATACAGTGCAGCGGCATTAGTGCACTCACACTGGTGTGCAAGCATCACCACCATCCATTTCCAAAACTAAAACTCTATACCCATTAAATAACTCCCCACTGCCCCCTCCCTCCACCCTGGGCAACCACCATTCTCTTTCTGTCTCTATGCATTTGTCTAAGGATCTCATGTAAATGGGATCATACAATATCTGTCCTTTTGTGACCAGTTAGCTCACTTAGCATTATGCCTTCAAGGCTCATCCATGTTGTAGCATGTGTCAGAATTTCCCTCCTTTTCAAGGCTGAATAATATTCCATTGTATGGACATACCACATGTTCTTCACCCAGTCACCTGTCAATGGACGCCTGGGTTGCTTCCACTTTTTGACTACTGTGAATAATACTGCACTACGAACATGAGTGTCCAAAGAGTTCCAGATACTTTTTAAAGTTTCCCTTAGGGTCTGAATATGCAGACAAGGTTGAGAACCACTAGTGCAGAGCAGTCCCCCAAGACTGAGGGGGCCGGGAGAGGCGTGTTCCTTCAGTAGGCCCAATCCAGCCACTACGTTTAGAGTACTTGTCATATACAGTAATCAGACCGTAAACATCTGTCTCCATCAACAAACCTGAAGGCTCAGGAGGGTAGGGTAGGTTTTGTTTCCTCAATAGCTCCCAGATGTAGCCCAAGCCTGCCAATCGGCAGGAACTTTTAAGTTATTGGTGACTAAAGAAGGCTACCAACCCACCATTTAACTCTATCCTACTATTAAAACCAACTGCTCCCTTCTGCTACTAGAAATCAGGTACCACTGGACCCTGAGCCATGCCTCTGGCCCTGAGTGGGGCCTGGGCCCGAGTCAGGGCCTAAGATCTTTATGAAATAAAATCACACGTGTGACAGGATGGTGGTGGGAGGACCAGCTGCTATGGCCCCTTGCTCTGGTTTCTTCTAGGTCAGATGCTCCAAAAAGAGTGGCTGTACACCCCTCCCTTTCATCTGAATGAAACGCCTAAATGATCTTCCCCCCAAATCTCTGCTTCCCCATCCCCATAACCCACTTTAAAAGGCAGAGAAAGTCACGCTGCTGTATTTTTACTGAGGGGGGTTTTCTGTACTCCATTCCCATCTGCAACTCCACATCCATGTATTTCCTTTGTTGGTGTTTTTAAACCCTCACCTGAGGATATTTTTTCCACTGCTTTTCAGAGAGAGTGGAAGGGGGGAGAGAGAAATAAAGGGAGACAGAAACATCGATGAGAGAGAGACACGGCATTGGTCGCCTCCCGCATGTGCCCTGACGGGGGCTGTGCCCTTGGCCGGAACCTAACGTGGACCCTCCAGGCCGCAGGCTGACGCTCTAACCACTGAGCAAAACCGGCCAGGGCTGCTTTGGATTTCATGTTAACCTCAGTTCCCAAGATTTTTTTTTTTTTTAAATATATCTTTATTGATTTCAGAGAGAGGAAAGGAGAGGGAGGGGGAGAGAGAGAGAGAGAGAGAGAGAGAAACATCAATGATGAGAGAGTCATTGATCGGCTGCAGCCCGCAACCCGGGCATGTGCCCTGACCGGGAATCGAACCCCGATCGCCTGGGTCCTAGGTCGATGCTTAACCACTGAGCCATGCCCGGCCGGGCCCCAAGATCATTTTTTATTAAAGCCCATGGAAATTAAGAGGTAGGTGCAGATAAAAGAAGTACCCAAAACACCCGAGAAAGCTCTGCTTTGCTCCACGGTTGAGTCTGTGGGCGTCGTCGGAGGGAACTGCTTCGTAAAGGGGAGCAGTGGGGCAGTAAATTGAGAGCGCTCTCCCCATCTTAGAAGCTGCCAGATGCACTGGGCACCTCCGGCCTAGGGCCGTACGGGAGGAAGAGAGCCCATGATTCCGGGCTCTTCTGACCTGGCAGGGCCCTTGCCTGCACCGGCAGCTGAGGCCCCGAAATTCAGGCCTCTCTCTCTGAGGACCTAGGTGAGGAACTGCGCCCACTCATTGCACCCCTGACCCTGGGCGTGTTCCCTGCACTGCTTGCTTCAGCAGCAGTCAGCCAGCATGAAAACAAATGACGCAAGTCTCTGTCACTGTTCCAGTCAATCTTCAAAGTCACAAGGATCTAGCCCAACTCAGCCTCCTTGATATTATCTTAATAAGTCATTACCATTATTACATATGTGCCATAAAATAATAATTACTTAACTCACTGGCCTAATGGAAAATGTAATTACACATGCAAATCGCTTTATAAAAATACCGTGTGAAGAACACACTGGCACAGCAGCCAAAATACTACCCAGACGGTCACCCCAAGATCCAACCGCAGAGTCTTACCAGGACCGTGTGCATCCCCGTGTAGAGTCTGCTGAGACACACCAGCGTGGAGAACACCACGGCCATCAGCAGCCCCAGAGCGAAGGGATACTGCAGGGAAGAAAGGAAACGGGACGTCAGCTTGTGTGTGTGTGTGTTCTCTCTCTCTCTCTCTCTCTGTCTCGATGCCTTAGAAGAGGCCAGGACTCCCGATCCAGTAACTGCCCTAGGCCAGCAACCTGGGAGACCTGAGGGAAGAAAGGGGAGGGTGCCCGGAATATAGTGCTGGGGGGAAGTTTCGCAACACAAGACACAGCAGAGCGTGGCCTTAAGACCTGCGTCCACAGCTATTGTGCCGGCTGCTGCGATGGAGGAGCTCGTTATTTTTCTCCACCTATTCTTAGGGTGAGACCTGTGAAGTGTGCGGTGCTGAGCAAGAGCAAGCTAGACAGACAGCACTGGGGTGGGGAAGTCCGGTCACCGACTGACACGAGCTGCGGTGACAAAGCTCGGCAGCAACCGGCCCACGCTAAGAATGGGCATGTTTATGTCTAGATGTCAAGGCAGAACCCAGACTTTACTAAATCTCAATGGTTGCTGGTGGGACAGCAGACCGAGGAACGGGGCTAGTGCCGAATCATATGAGGAACGTACGAATAGCCTGCTTATGAACTAGACATGGAGGTATAATCCGCCAGGACTCGTGTCTGGTCTTTCCCAGAGAAGAATAAAGAACTGCCTGTGTTGTGCGAAGCACTTGATATTCAGAATCTCATTTAACCTTCACCTAACCTATGAGATAGAGTTTCCTCATTTGTAGAACGTGGCTAACGATAGAACCTAAGTCACAAGTTACATTAGTACTAAACGTTAGCATGAAGATGCTTCCCCATCAATCATCACATCTGATCCTCAAAACAGGAGCCAGGGCTCAGAGAAGCAAAGTGACTTTCCCAAGGTCACACAGTCAGATGTGACAGAGTCAGAACCAGAAGCCACACCTTCTGAACGCAAGTCCAGCATAGTCTTTCCTATGGAACACGTGAGTACAGTGGCAAGTGGCTGGGTGTCTCTTCTTAAGGTTTATTGTTAACTGGGTGCCAGACTTTAATCAAAAAAGTGCTAAAAATTAATGCGTTAGTGAATTCTGAAATTAGAGTTTGAAATTAGGCTCAACACATATTTATGTGAACAAATCCCATATTTAGTGCTATTTAGGGGCAGTAACTCAGATAGCTAAACATATTTATCATTAAAATTAAATAGGAAAGAAGATCTTAACAAGTCAAGCCTTATGAAAACCACTGCATTGTGTGATCTGAAAAGAATTTTTAAAATAGGCCCAGGTAGCCTTAAAATATGTGTATAAATGGTGGTGGTGGCTTCCCTGTCGTCAGCCTCAATCGCTGTTTTTTCCCAAGGTAACATCAGCATGTTCACAGGCCTCTCTGGACGCTGAGAGCAGCCGGATGAGGGCTGAGGCCGGGCCTGCTATTCCTCCTGGGGTAGATGTCACTCACCGGGCACGGCATAGCTCAGAAGCCTGCATTACATTAATTCAGACGGTACTGGGGCGCTCGGACATTTTTGACCCTGGCATGACACTGAAGCAAGTACCAACACAAGATTATACCTGGTTGGAGACATTCCTCAGCCCTCCCTTTCCCATTTAGGAAACCGAGGTCTAACCCAGGTGGTCATGACCGGGTAGATGACAGCCAGGGGAGAGCCAGGACTTAACGCTAATCTTGTTCTTGTCCAACCCCATTAGGCTGACACCCTCCCCATTTCAGTAAAGTCTGGCACGCAGAGTGTCCCTGGGTTTCTTGGGTATGGGGGACAGGGCGAAACAATACTGTCGTTTATGGATGGGACTGCTGGATTTAATGAAATCTAAGTTTTCTAATAGATCAAAGGTAAAATTATGAAATGAAACAAAACTAGAGCAAGAGTTCTAAGACGGATAAAACAAAACTTGATTGCAGTAATAATCTAACTTTTAAAAAGGTCTGACAATAATTGGCATGTTAGCAGAAATTGGAATTTCATTAAGTGAAATTCTCCTGTTTCTGGCATTTATTAATCTCCTGTAATTCAGACAGTTTTCTAGAAAACATGGAGCCATTACTTGTAATGGTTGAACCCAAACAAGGGACAGAGGCCCCCCGGGGAGTCATTTGGGGCACGGACTGTTCGCCCCTGGCCCTGGGAAGTCTAGCAGGAGGATTTGGTGGAAGCATCTCAGCCCCGGGGGGTCATTTACTAGGATCATAAATGCCTCGTGTCTGTTGAAAACAGGATGGAAGTCACTCAAGTGCTGTCTCGTCAGGCAGTTCAGGGGGAAAATGCTTTCCGAAGGGGGGGAGACCACACACCCCGGTTCCAGGACAGTCCCCGTTATGCTGGTGGGGTTACTGATGGTGTTCACTGTCATTCTCAGGCACAACCTGGCTTAGGTGCTAAATTGTAGTGTCACTTTACTTATGAAGAAATTGTCACCGATGGCTTAATAGGTCTCAGTTCCCCTGAGGCTTCATTTCATGAGCCTCAAAGTGCCCAAAGCAGCTTTCAAAGAAGATTCTGAAGCGGATCTCTCTGCTCTCGTGGCCCGAGAGCCTCCCGCAGCAGGGCCTCACCTGGTACCTGTCCACGGTAGAGATGAGGAGGGTGAAGGAGATGGCGGTGGCCGCCATGGCATGGGTGGACGGCATCCCATACTCAGCGATCACTCTCTTCTCCAGCTTCACCACCGGAGGGGTGGCGGGGCGAGGCCACTTCAGGATATCCTTGGCCACCTGGCCAATGTACATCACCAGCTGTAAAACCGAGGGACCGAGGTGAGTCTAACCAGGTAAGGAAAATCACTGACCCCCCACGCTTCACAAATTTGAGTTTCCCTGTCTGTTGGCTGAAAGCCCTTTCTTTCAGAGCCAGCTGCCTATTGGGGAAGGCTTCCAGAATGATATTTAACTGATAAAAAGAGAAACAGGCCTCTGGATTCCACAGGGCAACTGAGACGCANTGCCCTTTCTTTCAAAGCCAGCTGCCTATTGGGGAAGGCTTCCAGAATGATATTTAATTGATAAAAAGAGAAACAGGCCTCTGGATTCCACAGGGCAACTGAGACGCAGCATGAACTCACTTTATTTCAGTCACATAGTTCACAAGCATTTATATAGCACAGATGTGTGCCAGGCGGTGTTCTAAGAGCTTTATGAATGTTAACTTAAGGTTTATCCAGTAATATTAGTAGAGTGCAGACCCATTTTACAGATGAGTGAACCACCGTATACAGTCAGTAAATGGTGAGACTCGCTGGATTTGAATCTAGAGATTTTGGCTTCAACATCTTTGCCTTAAACGACCACGTGATAGTTCCCATCCAAACACAGGATGGCCCTGGACTAAAAACCATCGATACTCAAATCAGATAGCCATTGTTTTCAAACTTTAACCAGAAGAGTGACTGTTCTATGGAACTTGTAGCTAAAAATTTGAGTGCTAGTGTTACTCCTGTCATATGTAGGTGACATACTGGATTTAATTTAACTTCACTCAACAATCAGAAGCATCAGTAAAATAAATGCTACGGAATTTTCAGCCCAACATAAAGACACCTCAACCTGGAGTTTTTTCAAATGACTTTTTCATGATGCCATTGATGAAGAAATTTCCACTCCCTTTCATTTTTTTCTGAAAGCAGAAGAAAGAAATCAGAATTTGATTTTTATACCCTGCAGAAATGAACAGGACTGTTAACAAGAGACTTACTACTTTTTCAGAGAGGTTACAAGAGAACCATTTCATAATGGTTATAAAAAAAGAAAACCATTTGCTTAAGTCTCTGCATTTGAGGCATCTGCACCACACAGGTGCTATTTTATTTGATAAAAAAATGTTTTTATTGATTTCTTAGGGAGAGAGGAAGGGAGAGGGAGAGAGAGAAACATCAATGAGAGAGAAAAAGTGATGGGCTGCCTCCTGCACACCCCCTACTGGGGATCAGAGCTGGAAACCTGGCCATGTGCCCTGACCTGGAATCGAACCAGCGACCTCTCTGTGCCTGGGGTGATGCTCAACCAACTGAGCCACACTGGCCAGGGCCACAGGCTCTACTTTAAAATGCAGATCCCCAGCCCAACCTACTAAATTGGGGCCCCATTCCCACAAGACTCCTAGGTGGGTCGATCGCACAGGAGAACTTGAGAAGCCCTGGTATTCTTGCACAGGTCACTTTGTCATGGGCTTTCATCAGAAACTTCCTCATCTTACCGTGACCAGATTGATCTTACTAAGGCTTTATTTGGCTCGCGATGGATGGGTTACCTTGCTCTGGAACAAATCCCACTATGGGAAGACTATTTCGAAATAATCGCGATTAGTCAGCCAGCTCGCCTCAGGGTCGCCCACATCCTGGCGCTTTCTTTTAGCTCGGTCAGCTGCCGGTTAATTCGGAGCTCGATCCCAGCACAGTCCGTAGCCCCAGAAGGCTGCGTATGCTTTTGTGCTCTGCAGCCACTTGCTCCTGGTTAAAAACCGAGAGCCACCGTCTGTGCACTGCAGGCTGGATCCGCAGGCTTTAGAGCCGCAGTGACAGTCACTCCGGATTCCACGGCTGCGCCCTCTAATCGGACTTTGAAACTTAACCTCTTTACCGGCCCCTTATTACCAGGATCCACTGTCCTGGAAACCAGCTCGCTCTTTTATGTTTCCGCCTCCCTCCCGCGAACCTGTAAAAATCAACTACCATCCGGGGAGTTGGGAAGCCTGCAGATGTTCCGACTGCCCAGGATTTCTCAGGGGCTGCTGGAGGTGGTCAACCCTGCCCCGCCCCCGCTCGCCAACAGAAACAATTTATAGGCATCATGACTGACTCCAGTTGCTCCAAGATACTTTAAACCCCTTGGAGACAGGAAACCTTAAGATCATACACAGCGTGAAGACAGACTGGGCGACCCTCCAGATAAAATTTCATTTCCCTGACGTTCATGAGATCCTCTGACTTCACTGATATTTTGCCTTCTATGTTTGAAGGATGTTTTTAAGAACTGGGGCAGTTGGTCATTTCATTTTATTTTTATTTTTTAAAATATGTCTTTATTGATTTCAGAGAGAGGAAGGGAGAGGGAGAAACATCAATGATAAGTCACTGATGGGCTGCCTCCTGCACACCTCCTACTGGGGATGGAGCCCGCAACCCGGGCATGTGCCCTGACCAGGAATCGAACCGCCATCTCCTGGATCCTATGTCAATGCTCAACCGCTGAGTCACGCTGTGAACCTAAACTGCTCTAAAAAATAAAGCCTCTAAGAGAACTATTTCCCCATTCATTTTGCAGTTAGAGAGTCTAATGATTAACTCAATAGGGCTCGCCCTAAATGGAGGACGTGGCTCTGTATGTAAAGAGAGCAAATTAAGTTCCAACATCTATCACATTCTTCTGGGCTCAGGCCCCAAAGGCCTATATGCGAAGGAAAACTCCCTGAGGAGACAAGGCAATTACACAGCACTGACACCTCAGCTGACCTGCCGGGTCCCCTGCGTGGTGGTGGCTGATGGGGAGGGGGAGGGGGAGAGTAGCATTTCCCGATGAGGAATTAGCCGATTTTCTTACTTCTGCCATGATTACAGGATAAAGGAATCACATAGGTTGGGGGGGGGGATCCATTTCTTTGGATAGTCCACTGCTGATCCCAAGCAGAAAAAAGTTTTTCCAGTGAACCCATCTGTCAACTGGACGCAGGCNAAAAAGCTTTTCCAGTGAACCCATCTGTCAACTGGACGCAGGCCGTCCTCACAGCACGGAAGAGCTTCCAACTGGGGTCTGTCCCTGACGGCTGGGCTCCTCCAGGCCCTCAGAGACAACAGCTCATTTCCTCTTAGTGTGGTGGCCCTTTCCAGTTATTACAACCCAAAATGACAAAGTTTGCTGTGCCAAAGACATCTCTGAATCACAGGACGTTCCTCTTCACAATAGCATAAATAAAACCTAAACAGTTCAGGAAATAGGTCATCAGAGTAACATCACTGCTAGTAAAGCAGCCACAGACTTTCACAAACAAAGCCACGTGTTCGTATTTCATACACTGAGGTTGCTGGCTGCCCCCACTGGTCCCCCGCCCCACAAAGCAACCACTGTTACTACAATGAAAGCTAAGTCCACTGTGGGTGGAGAGACACCCAGAGGCTCTTTTCAGATTACACGCCCCACGCCCTTCAGCCATGCACAAATCCTGATCAACTCTAACATCTTTCTTCCTCTGGCTACACCCCCGGCTCCCTCCACCACGGGGGAATTGTGGCGCAAGAGACTCACTAACAGGAGGGCATGACACCTCTCAGGTCTCGTGGAAATTACAGTCTATCCATGAACTTATTCTCAGTAAGTCAGGAATTATTTATATCATCTTTCCTGGAGAGTAGAGAAGCACCCAAAGACCACAGCTTCTGCACCAATACGCCCCTGTCCCGTTTGAAGCTCACTCCCCTTTTGCTCAGCTTCCTAATGTGACCGTTTGGAGAACGTGAGACCAGACACCCAGCCGCTCTCCTCCTAGGCGCACACCCGAGAGAAATGGAGACGTAGGTCCCCACAGGAGCTTGTGCATGACTGTCCCCGGCAGCAGGCCTTACAATGGCCGGCCAGCCAGTTTAAACCACCTAAAGGCCCGTCAGCGGATGCGTGGATCAACTCAATGCGGTGGAGCTTTACCACACCCACTGTTACCTGACCGTGAAAAGCACTGAGGGGCTGAATCACGCTACGGCACGGGTGGCCCTTGACCACGGGGTGCCGAGTGAAAGCCAGGCGTGGAAGGGCAAATGCTGTGGGATTCCGTTTATACGGAGTGTTCAGAACAGGCAAATCCAGAGCGACAGAGAGCGGGTCAGTGGGTGTCTGGGGCTGCGGGAGCGGGGTGGGAAAGTGAGTGCCAGTGGATGCGAGGTTTCCAGTTGGGGAGATAAAATGTTCTGGAGTTAAATAGTGGTGACAGTTGCTTAACTGTGAAAATACTAAAAGCCACTGAATTATACTCTTTGAAAAGGTAAATATTACATGTAAATTATGTCACCATTGATGAAACTAGGCATCAAGATGGGTCCTGAAATACCTCTTCTTTGTGTCCTTGAAGTCCTTTGTTCCAAATGTTATTGACAATGTCTGCAAATATTGATCTAACAGAAGTAGCAATGGGGCCTATTAATATTCTTGTCTTCAAATGTCCTGCCCAGCTCTGGCCCTGAACCCCATTTCCACAGGGCACTGAGGAGGTGACCACACATGTCACAGAGAAAGCTGGGGAAATTCCGTCTACTCAAACCACGAGCACGGAATTCATTTTAAGAGCAACTTTTAGCTATAGAGGCTTTTAAGATCAGTGATTTTTCAAAAAAAGGAGACCAACTACACTAGCCCTGTTGTGTGGACCCAGGGTTCAGTGTTTTTTCGTCCCTGGAATGAATACACACTGCTCTGTAGGCCCCGAGCTGCCTCCAGGGACTGGATTAAAAGCATTTCTTTGTTATGGTTATTTGGAAATATTCTAGAGACTACTGCTTACCATCCAGTGTGAAAAGTTGTTTTCAATTGAATATCCTCTCATGCTTGTGGCTCTATTTTTATTTACTTTTTAAGAGTCAGGGCTCTTTTACTATGTATATCACGTGGGTTTGCATGGGTTTGTGGGGACAGGGTGTGGGGGGGCATGAATCACTGAGAGAAGCAATTGTGATTTCAAACTAATAAAATTTCATTCCATGCCTGAAGCACCAAAACAAAGAAATCACAGAACAAACATTATAAATCACAGAAGA